TTTTAAAAACCAAAGATTCCAGAAAACCACCCGTATCTCCTCCCTAATCTGTCCCAAGCAAGGGGTTGAGCCTCAGGTTTTCATGAATGGATTACACATGGTGCTTGCTCCAAGGAATGATGAGTACAAAAGGAAGATAAATGTGATAGAAATCTCAAGAGTGAATGAATTTATAAGACCAAGAAAACAAAGCTAATGGCAATATATTAGGGCTGGGATTTATTATGCTGTGGGATATCTCCTTTGTGAACAGTTGAGTGGTAGCTCAAGGCTTTTGTAACGGAACTTGTTATGTGGATAAATACACAACAGCTAGCCTGGGATTTGAATGACAGAAAGCACAGACATCCATCAGGGTTTCAGGAATGACATTGTAACTAGGAGAAACGACAACCTGAAGACAGAGATGGAGCAACACAGATGATCTGCCAATAGGAGAACACTCCAACTATCCCTTAGCTGCTCTCAATGACAATGATTTGAGATACCACACTTGTTAATAAAAAATGTTTTCTGTGTCATACTTCTTGGTTAGATAGGTGTTTTACACAGAATATCATAATAGAATCTCACAAGGTTATGTATGACTTAGGAGTAATCTGGTTTTGATTGTTTAAAACTATGTTTTCTCCCATTGACTCTGGGTTAAAGATACCGTAGCCAAAGAATAGAATGAAGGCTCAATGTTCAAGTCTTGACTCTAGCATAGCTAAATCCTTAACTTCACCCCCACTATAATTTGAAGAAAGTGTATGCAACATTGCATGATAACAGCTTTCTGACTGGGTTCTAAACCTTCTCCACAAAAAGGAATTCTGTGCATAGTCAAAAGTCGATGTCAGAGGAGGTCATGAACACTAGAATATAATCTACTTGTTTAGTTTACTAAATGGTAATATCTTTTAAAATGCCTTCTAAATGTTTATTTCTATACCCATATGCAGGGGCAGTTCTCAGTTTTATTCAGAGAAGCTTATTTTTGCAGTGGACAGCAGTCATTGCAGAGATGAGTATCTAGTCAGAGTGTCCAACCCAAATGGAATACCTGTATCAGTACTCCATTCTGGCCAGGATTAAGGGGCATTGCAGAAATGCAGGGAAATGAGAATATAAGAGCTGGGTAGGAGGAAGAATGTTGTTAAATGTTGTCTTTGGGCTATAACATGATTATCATGTTCATGTATTCACTTCAATTCTGGTAATTTCCACAAACCCTACATAATATAAAGCCAACCAAAGCTCCCACTTAGATGGGGAAATTGATATCTGGTTTCCATTCCTTACCAAGGAGCTACTAGCAGTTGCTAATTTCTTGGGGAAGGGAGAATTCTTCCCCTTTAAGTGTGTGACTACTCTTGGGTTTCCCATGCTCCAATGGATGGCTGCATACCCAGGTATATTTGGGCACTACTATTAACTGTACTCAATTAGGTTAGGAGGGGATGAACTGCATTATGATTTGAGATGTGTGAAGGGGGATTGGATATGGTACATTGTCATATTTCATTGTATGCACATATGAAATTCTTAAAGAATTAATAAAAGAAAGAATCTAATTTTTTTTTCAAGCAGCTATTCCATGTTTTGTCTTACCCCATTTGATGTCATCTCTCACGTTACTCATTAGGAAATGCAGCAGATATTTTTGCTATGTAACTCCAAAGAAAAGTTCAGTCTTGAATGGTGGGAAGAACATGGCCGTGGCAGTGGGTAGGGGATCAAGGATCGCTAATATAGGCATAGGAGAAGGGTATGATAACAGAAAGGGGCAGGCTTGCCACCTGGGTATCTCATTTCGAAGTAGGGTCTCTCCCTCCTGACATTGAGGTAATGGTAACTTCATCCTGACATAAGAAGAAAATGTTGCAGAAATAAAAAGATTCTCACATCTTTTGTCACTGTTTCTCAGATTCTCCATCTGCCCTTTAATGTTCCTGCCTGCCTTTATACACATTCCTCCCTGTCCCTTAATTTCTTTGGTTATTCTCTTCCTTTTGTTAGAGATCACCTCAAACAGACCTTCACTAAAACTACACTCAGTTCAGCTGTCATATTAAGGCGCAAACATCAAATGTCTCCAGGGAAGAATTCCTAAGAGCAGGAACCTTTCTGGTGTAGGCAAGAGTCCTGCCTCTGGGCACTTACAATAGCCCTCCAGTATCTGTAGGGCCCCAAACCTTAATTTTGACTCTGTTTTTTTGTTTGTTTGTTTGTTTGTTTGTTTTTTGCTAAGCCAAGAGCTGCCAGACTTACCAATGCATCTCAGCCCAGAGACAACCCTCATGCAGATGTATTTAGTTGAGGGATGCCATCATGAAAGAGTGTAATAATAGCTGGGTATGTAAAAGAATGGTCTCCTCTTTATAGTCTCACTTTTAAGGTCATCTGCTTGCAATTACTAAGACAATGGAGATCAAAATTCTACAACACCCCCATCCTGGTCATAGCTCACCCCCTTCCTGGTCATAGCTCTAGCATAGCTCTTCTTGAAAAGATCATAATAATGGGTATGTTCTTCATGAATTTCCAAGATTCTTACTTCACACGTTGTCTGTGGGCTTCTGTCTGGCATAGATAGATGCTTGCAAAGTCATGGAATTACAGATATTTGTTAAGACATGTTTTTCCTTTCATCTTTTTCCAGGTTCTCAGCACTGTACATGATTTCTGCTGTCACTGAGGTCAGTACTTGACTCCAGACTGCTTTAGGTTTCTATCTCTTTCTCTGAATTTATTTGGTTCACAAGCAACAAATTCCAAATAATCTTGAGGTTAGTAATGTTTATTTCTAACTAGTTTCTGGAAACTAAAACTACTAACCATACAAACAAAACCCAAAAATAGAACTGAGGATGAAAACATACTAGATCATTACCCTGGCAGGCATTTTGTTTATCATTTTTATAACCAATAATAGAATGTCCATGTTTATATTATACATATATTATTTATGTATATTGATATATATCATATATAGTCTTTAATAGAAAGAGACATATAAAAGCCTTTTCAAATGAGGCATGACACTCAATACTTGACACTCTTATTTACAATACATGAGTACACTTTCTACATGATGATAATGGATTCTCAGAAGCCAGATAGGGCTTACAAAGACAGCAGGACACCTAAAAGAGGTGTACCATGCAGCTGGACAGTTATTGCCTTTAGTTCTTACTATGTCCAGACAGCATATTGAAGTTAAAAATGGCATCTGACTATTGGAAAAGACGATAATCATCAAATTCATTCTGGCTCCATAATTACTATATGGTCTTTCAAATGACCAGGGCTTGACAAATGCTGCTGTTGAGGGTTAGAAACACAACACGAAACAAGCATATCAGACCAGACAAGCAGGGCTCCACACATAGCCAAAAAAAAAAAAAAAAAAAAAAAAAAAGAATCTGCTACAGCTACAGTATGACCATGCTGCTCTAAGTAGCAGCACTTGTCTGAGTCAGAAGATCCTGGGTAGTGTGAGTAGGAAAACTATTGTTCTCCAGGAAACGAAGCCAACATGTCAGTACCACTGAGTAGGTAGAGTCTATGCCAAACCCTGACTCAGGATCTCAGCAGAATGTCCAATGATAAATGCATGCAGTAAAACCAGGATATAAAGAAATGCAGAAATGATCCATGGAGAAACCATGGACTCACTATAGGGAGGTCTTCCTTTGCAAAGCTGTCAGCTCCCTCTCAATACTACCCACAAATTCACTGCCATACAAACTACTAGTCTGGACTCATTTCTCATGGTCTGAGTTTACTGCATGTATGCGGGTTTATGGTTGTCACATGCACCCATGCTCCCATGGCTTTCTTTTCATGGGATCAGTGAGCTAGGTTTCCATACAATGCAGGGTACTTCTGCAAAAATTATGAGCATTATCTCCAGTGTGATCATCTGTGCTGACCTGGTTTATGCATTGCTTCTATACAGCTCCTTTTTCCTCTTTCTGACATTTTAGCCTACATAGTGTATAGACTTGAGGACCATTTTAAATATCCTGGTTATCTTTTAAAACTTCTGCATCAGTCACTTACCAACAATAAGGTCAAGTCTTCAGTCTGGATTTTGTTCTCCATTCTGATCTTTCTTTTGTTTTTCCTACCTGTTAGTTTCTACAAATGTGGTCTTTCCTAGCCCTTTATTTTCCTAAGGCATAAAGACATCACTATTGAAAGATAACAGCACCCTTCTTAGAGCTCCCCTGAGGTTCTTTATCCAGCATGCCTCTCTTAGGATGCCTTTCTCCTTCCAAGGAGAAGAGCAGCAGCTGGCCATGTTAATGGTTTTGATTTTTTTGCTCTAGCATTCAAGGCTAACCCAGCATTTCTTTGGAAGTGCATCAGCAGGAGTTTCACACGGGAATACATTCATCTGACTGCCTCCTTCCTCTAGGGAGAGTTTCTCTCAGTCTTCTCCACTTCAGAAAGGAATTTAATCATTCACAAAAACAATTTGTAGACTGAACTATGCATAGAAAAAGTTTAAGGAAGAAGGTGGAGCAATTAGTTCAGTATGCTCCCTACAGCTCTTTCTGTTTATACCAAACCTGTATTTATCGATACTACTACCTTTAGTTCTCTTTTCCCTAAGTTACCCGACCTTCTGCTGCTAGAAGCTAAGATGTGGATTTATCACACTTGCCTTTGTCCTTTCTGTAGAAAATACGGAGAGGATGGAAACATGAATTGAATAATTTTTTGAACAAATGTTATGTTTGATCTATTAAGGGTTCTATTTACAGGAAGATGCCTCACTTCACACAGAAGTTAACCTGAGTTCTGAAATGTTTGTGTGCACTTAATTGAATCAAGACATGATAAAGCTATGACCTAGTGACAAATTGGGAAACTCTAGTTAAGTTGAACAAATTCCCTTGAGCCAGAGTGTTATAAAGCTGGGCTCACCAATGGCAAGTGTATGTTTCTTATTTTCTTATATTGTTCCTTGAAGCATCTTGAATGAGACTCTAGGAAGCTAGACAAATTCAAGAAAACATTCTTATCTTTTGCACTGTTTGTTCAGCTTCTCCAATGTCTCAAATACAAGCATCTATAGTATCCAATCCCACCCCAGCTTTTATCCCTCCACATCCTCCACCCTCCTTCTACTCCACTCTGGAATACAGAAGTGTGGAAAAGCATGACCTAGCTAAGAACTCAATTGATCTTAAACAGCTCTGGCCAGTCACCCAGGCTGTTCTCTGGAGGCTACTATTTGAAATAGTTGAGTCCTGCCACCAAGAAAAACTTCTCAAGGAAGAGTTCCGAGTCCAGCACGGCTATATGAGCTGCGCGGCCAATCAGGGTGTTGGCAGTGTTGGGCAGAGCATGGAACACGTTATGTCTGATCAGAGTGCAGTCCTTGGCTTCTACCAGAGGGCCCAGGAGGTTGTTGATCATTTCTGCATACACTGGCCCTGGAGAGAGAGAAACAAACAAAGGAAATAAGAGTGGAATTTAGCAGTGTAGTTAGAATTCTAGAGAAGAATTCTGCATGTATGGGTGCAGAGCATATAACAGACTGTGTCCCATCCTCATACTAGTGGATGCAAATATGCAAATAACTGAAGTGATTACAATTAGTAGGATTAGCATGCCTTTTTTGGTGGGATGGCGGGGGAGGGGGGTGTGGGGGACAATGACATAGTGGCCTGGTTTCAGAAGCTACAACACAAAGGAGATTTCTAGAGGAAGGCTTTCTCTCAACAAGGTGCTAAGAGGAAGGAGACTCACGAAATAGTCAAAAGAGATTCGCTTTCTGCTTCCGAAGACCATGGGGGCTAGATCCATATGTATATAAATCATGAAAGCAGACATTTCTTAATGTCACCAGTTGTTTAAGCCAAACAGCATTTCATAACCCCCAGTTCTGACAGAAATGAGGCGACAATGCAGATTTGTTGATATTGAGCTGCTTTATTTTAAAAAATTAAAGGTCTCAGTTGATGGTGCTTCTCTGTAAAAATGTGACTTAATTGCAGATTTGCTTTAGAGAGTAGGGAGATAGAGGCATACTGTAACAGAAATCATTGAGCAATGAGCAATGTACACACCAGAGTCTACAGTTCACATCTCCTCCATCTGATTTCTTTCTGAAGCTTCTTTATGACAAACTTATACCATACAGAATTTGTTCTCAACCTGTGTGTCATGACCTTGGTGGGATTGAAGGACCCTTTCGACATCTGCATATTTGAAATTTATATTACAATTCATAACAATAGCAAAAGTAGAGTTATGAAGTAGCAATGAAAATAATTTTATGGTTGGGGTTACCAGAACATGAGGAGGAACTGTATCAAGGGGCTGCAGCATTAGGAAGGTTGAGAACCACTGGAATACAGGAACATCTGCTGGGATAATCTTACTGGCCAAAGTGGCTTCTTGACTCAGTGGTGAAGGTGGTAACCACAAGCTATGACATTATCATATATTCCTACCATTAGGTCTTCAAGCTTCCACGATAAGCACTTTAGCCACCAAACCATCATCAAAGCCCTAGCAGTCTACCACTTGTCAGTTGACACATGGTTACAAAGAGAACAGAAGAAAATGAAGAGGGGGAAAGGAGGAGTAAAGGAAGAATTGCTATGATCATAATTGGATAAAGTAGGCTTGACTTTTCCACATATTCTATGCATTGGTAGTTTTATATATTGTTTGTTTAGGGGTGTGTGTGTGTGTGTATCTGTCTCTCTCTCTCTCTGTCTCTCTCTCTGTGTGTGTGTGTATCTGTCTATCTCTCTGTGTCTGTGTCTGTGTCTGTGTCTGTGTCTATTTCTCTCTCTCTCTCTCTCTCTCTCTCTCTCTCTCTCTCTCTCTCTCT